ACACAATGCTAAGTCAAAATGTAGCAGAGTAGAAAGTATAGATATTTCCTGTAAGATGTAGTAGGGTAAAAGTCAAAATTGTCCACTTTTAATTCTATTTAAATACAGATTTGTGAAAAATCTGCTTAAGTACAGTGACAAAGTAATTGTAATTTGTTACTTTCCATCACCTGCTAGACAATATATAACTACAGCTATCATTTCTGTTGATGAAGTACACAGCCATCTTGAATTCTGAGGTTGGGGTTGTAGTGATTTCTCCAACTTCAGGGGGCGCTCCAGTTGAAATTTCTGACTAGGAACTCGGAAATTCCAACTTCCCTCTTCAAATGGAGGGTAGCCTACGGCATACTGAAATAGAGCTCCTACTCAGTCTGAATCAGTCACATCTGGAAGGAGCATGGCTGTAAACAGAAAACGAGTTCTTCCAACAGCTTCTGGCAGGAGAGCAGGGAATGGTGATTACGATCCAGTAGAACGGGGTTTTCAGGTATGACTGGTGAGCTGGGGCAGATTCAGGAAGCAGACAATCCCATGAAGGCAGGACAGACATATCAGGCAGGGACTGATGGGGGAGAAAATATAACACAAACAAAAACGATCCAGTCAGGGGTATTTCGGTGGCCAAAAATGCATAGTTAATATGAAATGTCAAAGGGGAATGGTCAGACTCATGAAAGCTCACAGGAAGGCCACGAGTGCAAAAATAGCACATCCAAACAACAGCGGTGCACAGAATGTTTCTTTTGGTTACCTGATAAAATGGCCATTCAGGGTAGCCTGAAAAAAGGTAAATAAAACCAACCAAGAAATGGAAGTAGCTGATGTATCCATATCCATATTCTATATAATCGAGATTCTACTCCTAACAAAAGACCAGAAAATGAACAACAGTACTTCTATACCAAATTGTGAACCGCATTGTGTGTGCATTTCTGTCTCACAACACAGGATGTCAATGTTTGTTTAATTTTGTGACGAACTTACCCTGGGGGAGCTTCGTTCTTCCTGTTTTTTGCTAGTTCGAACCCAAATTATTTATTTTGCCAAACGAATTCACATGTCGGAGTAATATGCTCTGGTGCAGTCAGACATTTGACATACCAATAAGACAAAAGAGCCCCCAACTCTCCCCGTCGGGGAATCGAACCCCGGTCTCCCGCGTGACAGGCGGGGATACTCACCACTATACTAACAAGGAGATATTAAAATGTAGTTAATTAGTGCATAGGGTCGCTAAAATTCAAACTGTGGAATGGTTATATCAGAAAACGGTCAGCACGATCCAAGGCGTACAGCAAACAATATATAAAATGGAAGACTTAAGAAGTCTGTCTTCAACTAACTTATCTATTAAGTCTGTCTTCCACTAACTTGTCAAACATTCACTTCATTTGTTTCGGGTTGCAGCATCCGTTGGCTATGGTGACATTCAAACTGCCTTACCCTGATTAATGCAAATGTTTTTGCTGTTTGAATTTCTTAGGAACTCGCGATAAAACAGCATACATACAAACACAGCCTTTAAGCCTGCCCGCACGCTGTCACACAATGTTAACCTACTTTTATTCACCTTTAAAATGTTAAATATACCTAGATAAGAACACACTTTTTCTACTAGCGATGCAGGTTCTCCCGGCGCGGTAGTCGTTTGTTCAGATTATGACAGAATATGGATGCAGGTGGTGCATATCTTTCTTGTTTTAATTAATTATAGCAGGTTGAGCTTTAACTTTGTCAGTAAGTTTGACTGACAAAATGGGGGATCGCTGGGAACCACTTTAAGCAATGAAATAATGTGATGTCATCTATGATAAGATGAAGAGTAGTGATCTACATGCATAGCCTAACTAATGTCATTTGAGTTTCATAAGAAAAGTCACGAATAGTTGATAGTTTTTGTTAGAAACTGCATTGAATTTATGCAGTGATCCTGGATCGAAATAAGGTCGTGTTTGGTAGGTGCACAAATTCGTCTTTTTAAAACCAAGAATCATTTGAGACTTTGCTCAAATGATTCTTAACTACTTGTATAACTATTGCTGTGAGTTTTGCTGTTAATTTTCTTCAGGTTACTTTCAAAGGAGGAAGACCACCTGAACATGGAAATGGTGGGCCAGAAAGAGGGAATTATATAACTATTAATTTATTAATTGGTGACGACGATGGTGGTGATCGACGACGATAATGAAGATGATAACGATTTTACAATGACAAAGTTATTTGAGTCTTTTCGTTGTATATTTAATGATTCATATCGGGAGAAACGTAAAAACTGCTACAAATTTAAATTTAATAGTCTTTCTTTAGGTTTGATGAATTAACTATAAAAGTCACTTCTTGGAAAAAATACCCCGCAAGAGACAACTTTTGTCTCGCCATGCATGGGCGGAGTTTGGATTACTGAATTACTGTGCTTATCTGCCACCCCTCAAGTAGAAATTTCAATTAATTGGCAAGCACATGTTCTGCGCTGGCACTCTGCACCTTTACATGAGCGGTTTGTTAGTTAAACAAAATACAGTGGTACCTCAGTTCTCGAACTCGTTAGAACTCGCATTTCTTAAAAGTCGAACCAACCAGTCCGAATTTTTTTTTTTTTACCTAGAACTCGATCTGAATCTCAGAAGTCAAACCATGAACGCCGACCTAAGATAACTTGTAAACGCGGGGAAATGAGTCTCTCAGCGGAAACAAAGGGTAATGCTTCAGTCTCAGCCTGGCATTTGCTGTGATAGCATCGTGCATGTTTACACTAGCTGAATACATATATTTAGACAGTAAAAATACATTTAGACAATGATAGACAGTAACAGTAATTATTATTATTATATAATAAAATACATTAAAAAAATAAAGATTTCTTATTAATTATTTTAATGTTAATAATAAACCATTAATATATTTAATTATAATAATATTGTCAGGCCAAGCGGGGACAGATCGGAGACAAAGGCGCAGACGTCAGGGTATCGGGGAATACTGGGTTTAATTAAAGGTAAGGCAGGCAAACCGCAGACGGACAATACAATGACCGGACTGGGGAAAGAAACACAAAATACAGAGGACTAATGACAACAACCAGAAACAGCTGATCACAGGGGATTCCACACGGGGTTAACGAGGGGGCGTGGCACACGGAAGGAGCGGAAGATCGGGGCATGACACATTGTTTTTTTTTTTTAACTTTACACATTGTTTGGATACATTTATTTTCTTACTTTACAAATTACTGTTTTGATAAATGTGCTTAGATGTCTTTAGTACAGTATGTGCTTTTCTTGTTTTGTCCGGTTCATTTTGTGTTTAAATGCTAAAAAAAAAAACTATATTTGGGTGTAATTTTTTGGGAGCGGGAACCAATTAATTGGTTTTCCATTATTTCGTATGGGGAAAATTCGATCAGAACTCGAACTTTTTAGGATTCGGTCCAGACTTCTGAACGGATTAATTTCGAGTTCTGAGGTACCACTGTAATAGCTAGGTTATTCGTACGTCAGATAACTTCGTGCGTTAACACAAGGTAAGCAAGATGCAGTTTTTGACACACACCCCACCCCTAAGCACAAACATCAAACTCCGCTTATTTTACTGTAATTTTACGTGTACATTAAACTGCAGCTAAATATGAACATAGGCTACATATATGCCTATTAGATAGGAACATAATTGCAGCCATCATTCATTAATCATTGCACAGCCACGGATCTTTTCTGATTCTGATTCTGTTTCTGATCTTACAAACACTGCAGGGTGCTGCAGCACGTACTTTCATTCAGGGACACATCAAAACGCGGCCCCTGGAACCTGTAAGCTTTTCCTAATTTCAATTAGATCTTCATGCGGCATTAGTTAATAGCCTAATAAATTAATATGTGAATTAATTAATGCGACCATTGTCAAATCATGCCTTCCCTGTATTGGGAGACGCAGTTTTTCCCTTCTGTGGCATTTTAGATTTTTGTTAACTAAAAACATTTTAAGGTGTTACGTAAATGAGCATATAGCCTACTGGTGTGGATAGGCTGCTTTTTATATTGTAGATGGATAATTTCAAAGGGTATAATTTATTTGGCAAAAATGCATACTTCTGAAACATGGGAAAGCAAGTGGCAATATTTCGTCTGCTATCTATTACTCTTTCTATGAACTACGCTACCTTTTTCCAGAGTATAATCTCCACCCTGTATCTGGAAATACAGTCGTCCCTCGTTTATCGCGGTTAATTTCCGCGAAGTATACGATTCTTTATTTCTTTATTATTTGGCTGCACCTGCATGGCGTTGAAGGATTTTTTGGGCGGGTGCTCGATTACATAGGCCTACAGTTCATACGTACAGTAATTTTAATTTCAATTGTAATACAGAGGTGTATAATTGACTCAGACAACCGAGCGCTCGCTGTATCATTTTCACTATCAACTTTTTAATGAATAGGCCTAAATGTATTTTAAAAAACCGCGATAGAGTGAAGCGCGAAATGGCGAGGGACGACTGTAATGCCTTTTTTCTAGGTTTTATGGATTCAGTAACTGGACTGAAGAAGCCAAATGCTGATGCAAGTAGCTGCTTTCGCTTCGTGGAATCGAAGTATCCTGCGGCTGTTATTAAGTAAAGCAGTCCTCTTCATTAGGATATATATATCAGTTATAGTGATAACAATTACCAGGGGTTATTATTTATTCCAGAATAAAAATTCTATTTGTTTTACTTAAAAAAAAAAAAAAAAACTATCTTCTGTATCGAATAGAATATAGCATGATAGCCTGGATATTCCATGAACTCAAAAGTCTGATTTGCAGAGATGCCTCCTTTATCTTTAAAAATATAGGCTATTGGATTTTGAAACAACTGACAGTATTGAGAGTATGAATTGCAAAATATAGTAAACCCACGGTGCTTATCAACTGAAAGAAGATTAGCAGGGAAGCGATACGCACCATTCTTTTTGAATCGGAATTAACAGTATAATTGAAAAGCTCATTTAGACTATTTAGGGCAATGGGATCCATTGAAGGTGTTGTTGCATCGGTGACTTTGGATCAGATGAATGGCTCTTCGTTTTTCATTTTAAATTCATCCTCTCTCGTACCCGATCGGGATCCCCCAGTGTCTATCAAAGAAACCGTCATCACGGCTTCGCTGGGAATCGTTTTAAGCTTGATGTGTTTAGTTGGAGTGGTCGGAAATGTCTACACACTGGTTGTAATGAACATCTCGGTAAGGGTTTCGTGTTCAGTGCACGTTTATATAGTCAATTTAGCCGTGGCTGATCTTTTATACTTGTCTACTATCCCGTTTGTCGTCTGCACGTACTTTGTGAAGGACTGGTACTTTGGAGAAATTGGCTGCAGGGTTCTCTTCAGTCTGGATTTCCTTACGATGCATGCAAGTATTTTTATTCTGACCATAATGAGCTCGGAGCGGTATCTAGCCGTGGTGAAACCTCTGGACACCTTTGGGAGATCGAGGCACTACAGGAGAACCGTTACCTGCGCCGTCTGGCTGCTGTCCTTCTTTCTTGCGCTCCCTAATATGATTATGATTGATCTAAAAAGGACGGTTCAAAACGGGATGATCAAGCGTATGTGTCACCCAAACTGGCAGATAAAAGCATATAAGATCTACCTGACTGTGCTGTTCAACACCAGCATTCTCGCTCCCGGTATAGTAATTGGATGTTTGTATGTTAGATTAGCAAGGACTTACTGGATGTCACAAACTGCAAAGTTCACAGAAAAGGGTATGAAGCGCTGCCCCAAGCAGAAAGTTATTTACATGATCTTTAGTATCGTGGTCACTTATTGCACCTGCTTCCTCCCTTTCTGGCTATGGCAGCTGCTCAGCATATTTTACTTCGGACATGGGAAACTGTCGCATAAAACGATGGCAAACATAAATTTCATCGTGACGTGTCTCGCTTACAGCAACAGTTGCATCAACCCTTTTCTATACACGCTACTGACGAAAAACTACGGCGAGTACCTGCAAGGACGGAACAAGGTCTGCATGGTGTCGGGAAGGAAAAAGCGGCCGTCGCAAAGATCTGTGTCATCTGGAAGCCACCAGTTCGCAGAAATGATGACCATCGTTCAGTTTAAAGGAGATAAGGATGTGTCTTTCATGTAATCCTCTAAGTCTTATGTACAATATAAAGAAAATAATAGACTAATCTGTGTACCCCGATTTCCAAAATTATTTCTATATTGTTGTTTTTTGAAGAACCTTAAAGTACCGGTAGTATAATCATAACATACAGTATGGAGGTAAAATATAGTTGCAAGAAAGTGCCCTCTTTTGAAATGAATTACGGTATGCAATGTGTTGTATGTGTGATTTTGAAGGAACCTCACGAATGTCTGGCAGTCTAACTCTAAGGTGGATGTTTAACAAGCGAGAATGACAAAAGAATTTTATGTTACCAAAATGTGATTGTATTTAATGCTTGTCTCTGTGTACTGTTTTAGTTACGAATGTGTACTAAAGACATCTTACTGTACAGATTCTTAAAAATCCCGAAGGATCTTTGCCAATACTGTATTTCCATCCAAAATATGCTTAGCTAAAAGCACTTTGACTTTTTTTTCTTTTCAGGTAAAGAGAAATTACAAAATTAAATTAAAATTACAATGTTTCGAATATTAAGGTAAAAATAATTAAGTAAAAATCATTGATTTATTATTATTTAGCTCATATTCTGCAGGTAAACTTGCCATCGTTTTTGAATGTGTTGAATGTGTTGAGTCACTAGTGGTGCAACATTTCTAAGGAGATTATGCTGCATTGCTGCAGAATTGTGGAAAAATATTACCAGTCAGTACTTAATAAAATACGATGTTTGTCTGAATGACATCATTGTAGTACATCCTTCACTAGCCTCGCATTAGGTATTCCATGTTCTTATAATGCAGAGATACAAGGAATGTTAGGAATTTCTTGGTAGGAGAAAGCTTGCTGATGCACAATTTGCCCTAATACTTCTCATGGTTGTTAGTTGCTTAAATGAACTGACCTTTTTTTTTTTTTAACATATTTGGTTTAGAAAATACAACAATAATTATAATAACAAAAATTGCTATAGTCCAACGTGGATTACCACTGGTCCTGGAGATCCGCAATCAGTTTTTAGAATTTATATGTAGAGAACAGGTGAAAGACCAGGCCAGGTGAAACTCCATCAAAGCTACAGTGAAAAGCAACATGCCCAGTGATTCTAAGGTTTAATAATGGGTCGCAGTCATTAATGGAAATCTCAAATATGTTTTTATTATTTATAAAATAATATGGTTTGTAGAAATACTTCTAAATACACAACACATCACTGCATCTTCATCACATATCTACAGTATATTCTTCTACCTAAAAAAATATAATTTACATTTTTCATCAGGGTTTGTGTTAATCTTCTTTGTGCATTTTAATTTTCGTTCACTTAATTTTTGTTCATTTTATGTAATGATGAATCTACTCAAAAACCTAATAAAATATATTTTGAAACACCAAAGGTAAAAGTGTTAGCTCGTCCTAGGTGAGCCCCGGAATGGATCATGATTATTTGAATTGCAGAAAAAATCCTGAGGACTTGACCTTGGTGTCCTCAATGGTTGGTTCGGCCATGTTTAGTGCCATTCCCTGTACTGGTCCTAGGCCATGTGGTGCCCTAGGTGAGCATTACCACCGGCGCCCCCTGTCTGAGGCAAAGTGAAATTGACTGGCAAGTGGGCGGCCCCTGAGATGTTGGTGCCTAGGCGGACGCCTACATCGGCCATTGTGGTTGACCTGCAATGGTCATTCCAGAGATTTCATTTAATTTTTGCCTTGCCTTGAGTTCCACTAAGCTTGTTGCTTTATATGTGATAGGTGCATTTATGCAATAGGAGTGAATGAAATGAAAATGTTGTCAGATATTATAAATAACTATAACAGAGACCCCAGGAAAAGATTTCCTAAACCCAGCTTTTCTCCAGCTTCCCAAAGACATACTGGTAGATGCATTTCTATATATAGATTGAATCTTATGTGTATGTAAGCCCGGCAATAGACTCACATGCCTTCCGGGAGTCTCCAGCCTTGGGGCCAGTGTGTCAGGATTTGACTCCATCAGTCCCGTCCTGTTCCATTTGGCCAGCAGAGGTCTCTGCTAGTCATCCTGTGTGCTCCTCTCTTGTTTCTATCATCCACACTGGTTTTCCATTTGTAGCTTGTTACACATGATTCCTAGTGCTTAGTTAATTGTTATGACCTGCACTTGTCAGTCATTGTAGATGAGCTCCATGTTGGTTCCAGCTCATATTAGTGTTTTGTTACTGTTTCACCTGTCTAACCCTTTATGTAGGTCTGCCTGTATCCCTCCTTATCCACTCTCCCTGCCTTTAGTTTTGACCCTTCATGGTCCTTTTGTTTTTCCCTCTGTTCCCTCAATTCTTCTACAGTTGTATGTGGATTAGAGCTGTCATGGTTACTTGGTTAAAATCGATTACTAAAAAGCATTGATTAAAATTGTCCTTCTTGATTATTCGCAATATGGCGGAAGGGAGACGGTGCATAGCAGATGAAGGCAAAAATAAAGAGAGAACCATCAGTTGCGTGGAAGCACTTTACATTAAAGGTGATTGAAATGCAGTCATCTGTCAGTATTGCAAAGCAGAACAGTGAGGGGATCGGTGGCTAGCATCTCCTCCAAGGTGAGCAGATATCCCTCAAGGAGCTCTACCTCCCTGGCTTTTGCTATTAGAGGAAGTTCCACTAGTTAATCTCCAACCTGCATGAGTCCATTCACCAGCCGGAAAAAAACTCAGAATATATGGGTTTGCAAGCAGGTCTCTATACCTGCTCTGGAGGGCAGATAATCCAGGAACTGGGGATCTTGCTTGGTGCACTAGTCCACTAGGCTCCGCTCCCCACACATGGATAGACCCTTGAATCCCTGGGCCCTTTCCCCAGCATCATACCTAGTATAAGGTCAGCACTGGAGGGGCTACCCACATGGAAGGAGGTTCTTTGGGCTCCTCCAAGTCGCTGTCCCTAAGCAGGTTGATTAGCAGGTTGTCTTCGAACCACCGAGGCATGTGGACCACGGGCTTGGAAGGAGTCAGGAAACTGGGTGCCGAAAAAAATAATGCACACGGAAACATGTAGCATGTGAGGCTTCTGGGAGCAGCTGGCAGGCAGGTTACGAATTCCTGTCATTCTGTCACGTGATATGGGACAAATGAAGTGGGAGCAGGAGTCGGGGCAAACAAAACTGAGTTTTATCACAAAAAGGCAACAGGCTAGAAAGCAACAGGATTGTGGGGGATCATAAGCAGCGAAGAACACACAGGCTAACAGGAGTGGCAACATTAAGGAATGATGTCAGTGACAGGCCTGGGGAGCACAGGACTGGGAAGCAGGGACTAATGAGGGAGCAAACAAGAGGCAACTGGAGTGAATCACACAATGGGTAGGACAAGAGGTTAGAGAAGTGTAACTGGCGTGGCTCTAAAGGAGAAAACAGGAGAGTGAAATGGGCAGGGCGTGACACAGGCAAGTTTCTTCTACTAACACTGGCATTTTTTATCTGTTTTTTTCCACTTGGCACTCTAGCTGTTACATTACTTTTCAGGGCTGAGAAATATTTTACCATGTACCATAATGAGTATAAGGATTTCAGTAACTCTAAGCTTGGAAGATAATTATAGAAAGTCTGAAGAGGCTTATTTAGAAGACAGCGAGATGAAAAAGCTAATTTAGAAATGTAAGGTTTATTGAAACAGATGGCACTGTTTGGCATGTACAACAGATGGCACTGTTTGGCATGTTCTTATCAATATGTAACCTACTCCAGACCTTTTGACAGACTTGAATTTTGTAAATTATTCACAACTTCTGCAGAACCGTTGTAGGTAAGTTTCTCTTTCATTTGGAATAAACGTGATTTGTGGTAATCATGGAAAGCTCACATCCAGGGCTGAGGGTTTGAATGTTGGGCAGGCATCTTCTTCACGAGTCCGGTCATTCTGTCACGAACTTGCTCTGGTACAGACCAAGGAAACAGGCGCAGGAGACTGGCAGTCGGGTAAACACAGGATTTAATGCGGATCTCACACAGGGAAACACGCAATGACATCACATGACATTAATGACTGGACTGGGGAAACATACTCTAACGCGGACTTAAATACACAAGACTAATGAAAACAACTCGAAACAGCTGATGACATGGGAATTCTAGGGTGCAAAGTAATGAGGGGGCGTGGCACACGGGAGGAGCAGATGAGCGGGGCATGACACTGGCCTTCTAGGTAGAATTGCAAAGAAAAAATTGTGTCTCAGAATAGCCAGATGAGATGAGCAAATGAACACTGACACTGGACAGAGGAAGACTGGAAAAAAGTGCTATGGATAGACAAATCTAAGTCTAAGGTGTTTGGATTACAAGGAAGAATGTTTGTGAGATGCAGATACAATTAAATAATACTGGAAGAGTGCTTGACAACATCTCTCAAGCATGGTGGAGGCAATGTGATGGAGATGCTTTTGTGATGGCAAAGTGGGAGATTTGTACAGGGTAAAACAGATCTTGAAGAAGGAAGGCTATCATTCCATTTTGCAACGCCATGCCATACCCTGTGGACAGCGCTTAATTGGAGCCAATTTCGTACTACAACCAGACAATCAGCTAAACACAGCACCAAACTATGCAATAAATATTTAGAGAAGAAGCAGTCAACTGGTATTCTGTGTGCAATGGAGTGGCCAGCACAGTCACAAAGAGCTGTTATGGGGGTAGCTATCAAGCCAATCCAACTTGTGGGAGATGCTTCAGGAAGCACGAGGTAAAATCTCATCAGATTACCTCAACAAACTGACATCTAGAATGCCCAAGGTCAACAAGGCTGTAATTGCTGCAAATGGAGGACTCTTTGACGCAAGCAAAGTTTGAAGACTTGACTACTTCCTATTTTTTTAGCTGTGTTTCCTATTCAAACTCATTTCATGTATGTTTTCTAAGTAACCACAAACTTCTGAATGGTGGTGTAAATCGCCCCCATCCCACCCTGTAGGCCTACTCACCAGCACATCGACAGCACAGTGTAAAATTAAACCCTTAAATATCTTGATTACGAAATTACTCACTTGACACTGCCACTATATGGTGTTGGCATGAGAATAAATAAGTTAACAGAAGAAAAGGAATTATAATTAATATTGCATATGTAAGCTTATGTGTATACAGTGGTGGCCTAATGGTTAGAATAACCCATTTGGGATTGCCTTCAGTAAGATATCACCCCCAAACACTCCTCTCTGGACAGTGAATTAGCTGCCCCCTGCTATGTAACAAATGGATTAAATGCAAAAGACACATTTTGTTCCGGTGTGTCAACAATGCCTGTTAATCGCTTGCACTTCATATGAGCAATTTAATTACCGCTACTGCGGGGTTACCATACCTCATATTTTTTTCTCCATTCCCACAGATTAATGCCTTCCCCATTCCCATGCAAGACTCTACTGACCACCACAACTGAATTTACCCCCAGACATTTTGACCTCCACAATCACCTCACTTGCAGTTGATCAAGGTAGCTCTAGCAGAGCAGAAGTGTGGCAAACTGAATGGGAAGGATGGTGTCCTGTGATGGTGACAAGGATCTGCTCCTGTTTGTTACAGGAGATTCCATGACTGTGAGCTTAACTACATATCTATGTCAGCAACGACTGTGGCTTAATTAGGCAGTTTCTCTAATTAATAAGGGCATCCACACAACTTTGACCATGTAGTGTACCTCATATTCAAATGGAATCCAGAATTGAACTCGTGTTTTTCTGGACTTGGATTCATCCAGGTCAGGTAATGGAAATAGTCTCATCTTGGACTCACCCCCTGTTGAACACAGCCTTGGCTCAGACTCGATTTATTAAGCATAAGGTCTTGACACAGACTTGACTAAGGTGAATGAAACACAACACTGCCACACACTGACAATCACAAATTACAAAAAATTTATAAACCACCTACAGTGTTTTAGAGTGTTGGAGAAAACCCCTGGGAAATGGAAAAGACATGCAAATACTTTATTTGAACATTATAAATTAAAATAAGTGGTAACATGTCATGTGAATTTTGGGACATATGTACATCCACTAATTCAGCACATGATCACAGTGTATAAAATATAATTATTTTCTGTTGTTCTCTTATTTTCATGTATTATCAAATATATAAATATTTTTTTTTCCCTGTTTGTTACTTTTAATTCCCCCAGCCCTGTTTGTTTCATCACTGAGAAGGGAATGTAGGAATATGCATAACAAAAATCATATCTGGTGAGAAATTCCAGTACTCTGTTCTGCAAGATACCACATTTTCTCACACTGACTGGCTGAGGTGATTTATATGTAAAATATTCATTCCTAGAATGTACAAATTCATCCCCATTTTGCATATCAAAACTTGCAGAAATTCCTGGAGAATAGCTGAAATACAAAATCCACCCATCCATTTAGGTTTGTATTTTCTATTACATTTATTCATTTGAGGTTTGCAGTGGAATCAGGTTAAGATAAAAAGTAGCAGCAGTCGGTCTTTCAAGGAGACTCAAAGGTGCTCTTCGACTGGCCAAGCATTCCCTGCAGAAGGTCCTGAACTTCTTCTCTGCCCAGTGGGAGGAGCCAAAATTCTCCAAGGAAGTGCAGCATTTGCAAAAAAGCAGCAATACCTCCTTCAAGCTCCTAAACCTTCATGCACAATACAAGAGATATAAAACACTACACCCACATCTCTAGTAACTGAAAGGCTATGATGTCATTTCACACAGATGTCTAATATGTGTTCCCCATTACCTCAAAATAATGAGCTTGTTGCTTTTTAAAATATTGTTTCAAGTACTGTGTATTGTTAGAGATACTATTGAGAAAGTTTCAGTATCTGTATTTTCGTGAGATATTGCAAATTGATCTTCTTTGTTTTTACCTCTCAATTATATCTCATTATTTCCAGATTCATTTTAATCACCCGTTAAGGTTTAAGCACAGGTGGCCATTCTGCCAGCGACAGGGCCATCAGCTGATGTTCTGCTCCTGTAATCCTGGAACATCTCAAGGTGATGAAGAAGCAGTAGGGATGTCTCCCTACCGCCCCCTGGAGTCAGCCCTAGACTCCTTGTTTTCTCCATGCTTTGTCCATCTTCTGGAGCCAGAGCCAGAATCTCCCTTGTTCTGCCTCCTCCACCAGGTCTTTGAGCGCCTTCCTCATCTTGGAGACTTCAGGCACCACTGCATGGATGTTCCAGCAAAGCCTCTGCAACTAACTTCCACTGGATAGGTGAAATCCCTCCACCCTGCTTGTAAGCACACCACTGACAGCTCTGTGTTATTTTCCTTCTTTCTCTGGAAGGTAGTCTCCATTTCTGTAGGGAGGTTGTGGTGTTCTGTGGGAATCTCAGCTTGTGGTCTAGATCAGCTCTATTGTTCCACTGACCTCTAGGTGGCAGTAGGGACCACTGCTCTGAGCCTCGCCTTCCTGCCTGTCAAACTGAATCAGCCGCTGTGATGTCCCCAGGGGAAGCACAGTGCAGGAGCCGGGAAATCAGGCAAACGAGGGATTTTAATTAGACAACAACAAGGAACACGATACACCATAATAAATACGGATGTCAATGACCGGACTGGGGAAAACATACCTAACGCAGACTTAAATACATTGAACTAATGACAGCAACAAGAAACAGCTGGTAACACGGGGATTCCACACGGGGTGGATGAGGGGGCGTGGCACACGGGAGGATCGGACGAGCGGGGCATGACAAAGGTAAGTTGAGGTATACTTTATTGTCCCCGAGAGGAAATTTGTCTTGGGCTCCAAGCCACTGCATTCTATAACATTCGTTGCATTCAACAGAATCACACCATACAATGTACACAACATACCTTGTGCATTATACATTCATACATATACTTATACTGTCCTCTAGGCCATAATAAAACCCTGTGTGCAGTGTAGACATACACGGGGTATTGAAAGGCAAGTCAGATACAAATTAAGGACAGATCTCTAGCTCCTTTATACCCCCAGAAGAACCTTTTTATGTGTGAGGAGTCTGAGGCAGGGATGAGTCAAGTCAGGATGGAAACTGACTACTGGTAAGTCAGTGGCTTCTCATCACCCCAGTGATGCTGACTGGAACGCTCATTCTCTCCCTGACTTCCTCCATGATCATAATTTGCTAACACTGTCCGTATTCAAACGATCGATCAAGAATATTGCGGCATCCTTAGCACATTTCCTTACTATGGAAAGAAAACGAATTACATCCAAAGAGCACCGCTCTCTGCAGTAAACTGCAGTATGGAGGCAACTTCAAACAGCCAATGGGAAACAGCGCACTCAGCACATTTTTAGTTAATTTCTGCTTGTCTGGATGAACCACTGTTTTTGCCATTAATGTACACCTGCTTAAATCTTGCAATCAGTCTCAGAGTGACATTATTATTATTATTATTGTTGTTGCAGTTATTATTATTATTATTATTATTATTAATATCATTAATAATAATATTAATAATAATAATCGATCCTTTATCGTCCCAGTGGAGAAAGTCTTTTTTATGCCTCCCTCAACTTGCTCTTTGTAGAGTAAGCTGTCCGCGAAGGGCAAGCCACCTGTTGGGGCGCCCAGGGAGCTGGGGGTTAAGGGCCTTGCTCAAAGACCCACAGATGTGCTGAGGCTGGGTTTGAACCGGCAACCTTGTGATTACAGCCACACAGGCCATTATTATTATTGTTATAATTATTATAGTAGTAGTAGTAGTAAAAGTGAGCCCGGCAACATTATTTTTTATCGGTAGAAGTAATTCAGACCAACAGAGACACCTAGAGTCAGTGTTGGCCTACAAGGGATGCCGGCGGTTAGAACTACATCTCCCACACACCTTCGCCACGTAACGTGCGGCCGTGCGTATGCACGTTCAGTGTCCTATATAGTTGTACGTGCTACTAGCTTTGGTTTCCGGTCGATAAAGTGTAACTATCGTTAGCGACTGGTGTATGTGCAGGTCCGGGAAGCCTCTTGAAGCCGCTTTACGAATCGGGTATGTTCGTTACGAGCTATTGCCGTAGCCCATATTACCGCCGGTAGAAAGTCGGAGAGGTGTGTATGTACTGAAGGCAGTGCACGCAGGAAAAGTTAGCTCGCTGGCTAAGTGTTGACACTAAGCTAGTCCGCTCCTTCTCGGTCCGGGGGAAATCTGTGGGTGTCGAGAGTCGGTGAGAGAGTAGAGAGGGAAACGGGGAAAAGAAAAGGGACGAGGCGATTCCTTGTCCCCCACACGGACACAGGTCCGTAGACCCAGTCTGGACTGTCATTTGCCGAAACGCGTTAATTGAAGTGGTAAATTTGTGGAGTTGGTGCGGCTACGACTCGCACTGGCGAGGCTCCCGCACTCCTCACGGACCGCGGGGCGCCGTGTTTATGTTCGTGCTGCCGATTCGGCTCGCTCGCTTCCCGTAAGATGTCACCTGGCTTTTCCCGAAAACAAGCTTTCTTTCATTTTCGTGGCTCATGAGTGTTTGATGCGTATCTGTTATCTGGCATGCCTGTTTGATGTGGGCAAAATATACGTATGTCAACACACAGACGCCCCCTTAGCAAATCTGTTTTGCGCTTAATGCATGTGAAATTGTCCTTTGTCTCAGGGTTTGTGATCAGGCTGCAAATGTTACGTACTGTCTGACAATTGTACCTGTGACAGGGTTACTTTGTTTCGGAGTTTAAACTGAGTGCTGCTTGGCCAGACAATGTTGAAGTCATTAATGCTGTGTTAAATTATCATCCATTCTTAACAATCAGTACAGTGTATTGTTGACTTATTGTATTGGCGTAGGTAAATAAGTTTTCCATCCTAATAACTTCTTTTTAGTTTTTTTTTTCTTGTTAGAATTGCAGTAGTAAGTTTGTCTGCTTGAAAATACTCTCCGAGTTTTCGATCGGTTAGGGATGTGTCTGACCTAAGTTGGACCTTGCATGGGCCGTTGGTTAATGTCACCTTGCAAACCATTAATGACACAATTTGTATCCGCTATCGGATATTCAAAGTCGTATGATGAAGAAGTTGGAGTTGTTAGCTGGCCTCTGTTACCTGTTAAGTTGTTATTTTTAAATGAGTAATTGCCCTTTCCTTTATTGTATCTCTGTTGTGTGGGGGCCTGTGCAGTTATTTAATTTGAATTTGATCTTACTGCTAATTATGTTTAGGTATTTTTTTAGGTATGTTTAGGTTGTCACTCAGTCATCTTGTAAATCAGGAGTGGGCAATCTTATGCGCAAAGGGCCGGTGTGTATGCAGGTTTTTGGATAACCTTTAGGTCAGCGGTTCAAACCCAGGTGTGAGGACTCTTCAGCCAACCAGTCCTCTAATTAGTGACCTAATGAGGGAGTTGCAGCGAAAACCTACATACACAGCGGCCCTTTGCGGATAAGATTGCCCACCCCTGCTGTAAATGTACAGGAAAAGGACAAAAGAGCAACGCAGTTTTACGATTGCATTTGGTTTGCCAGCCTTTGTCCGAGCACCTAGGATACATTGTGGCATGGAGCAAAATTGTGTGTGGGGAAGTGGTTTGTCGAGATTACGTCGAAGGACGGTTTGTCAGTTAGCTTTGATTTCTTTCATTTCTCAGCAGTCTGATCTTTGGCCCAGTTCCACTGCAGAAGGCATTTCCAGGTGTTCTAGTAAACTTTTTTTTTTTTTTTTTTTTTTTTTTTTTAATTTTTTTTTTTTTTTTTTTTGTTTCCCCACCCTGTGCTTTTGGTAGTTTTGATGTGGGGTGCCTAAGTCTGGCATTAAGCTCCTCCTCTTCCCCTTGGGCTTTCAGACACGTCATGGTTCTGATGCCTGGTTTGCGTAACCTTTCTCAGTTCATTGAAACAGAAGTGATTTTGGCAGCGGTTTGAGAATCTTCAGTAAGAGATCTGCATATTTCATGCACTATTCATGCATGTACGGTGGCTGCATGTGCATACAAGTTCAGTCCCCATTTTAGCTTTTGTCTTTCTGTTTTTCTTGTGTAATACGCCCCTTATTTATCATGCAGCATACAGTGCCATTGTCACTAAGCTTTTATAATTCGGATTCTCTTTCCAAAAGCCAAACGCAAAAATTTTATGCAGTGGCAGACTTACCTGGAAAGCTTTTCTCACTTAGGATCATGCAGATTTGCTGAGTTCCTGCGATCGTAAGCGTGTGGAAGTCTGTGGCCTCTGCGTAACTGACGATGGCCGATGGAGCGGATGAAGAAGAAGTTATCCATTTGGCTAGTTTCCATACGCACCGTGGACAGGGTAGGTAATGGTGACGCCTTTAACCCTTTAGGCGCCATTTAGAATCAGATGTTTGACCTGTTGACCCATAAATGTTTTAACAGATGGCAAGGCCAAGTTCGACACTTCTATTACCATATCTGACGATTCGGATGATGAGCTGCTTACATTTGCCACAAATCACACGATTCAAAGTAAATCGGAGGCTGAGGACGAGGATGAGGAGGAAGATGTGGTGATATTGGAGGTAATATGAAATTTAGCTTTTTTTTTTATTGTTAGGTTGTGTTCTCTAATCTGGTACAGCTACACTGACTTGGTTTGGATGTCAGTCAAGGAACATCCGTTATAAAGAAACGTGTGGATGTTATTTGGGTTGCCGTCAGAGGGTAAGAGCTCTGTGTCCTCTAAAGCAGTTTGTTATGCTGCATTTCAGCCTCAAGCCCCCCTCCGCCCCAGTGTCATTCGTCCTGCTGCTCCTTGGGGCAGGGTGCGCTCTCAGAGGTCGCGGCCAGCGGACGGGAAGGATAAGGCCTCTGCCGAATCCAAGGCGCAGTCCTCCAATCACCATGCACAGCCTGAGCACAGACGCAACACCCTCAGTGTCTTAATTGAAGACCGGAATGCTGCACCTTCCACGTCCAACGCACGACTCACTCCGGGACCCGACCCGGTTCCTGCGAGTGGAGCGGCGCCGGAGGAGGAGAACCCGACATCCTCCGGGCATCACGCCGATCCACACGGGGAAGTCCTCGGTGTAGCAGCACCCGAGTCAATTGGCCCCCTCGGGGCGGAACTCGAATCTGTAGCAGACAGCCAGCCGAGGCCTGGCAGATCTTTGGACATCGCAGCAGCCCCATCTCAGGAACGCCCCGCGGAGCCGCCGCAGGTGGGGCAGACCCCTGCCACCCCACCCTCACTGCTACACCCTGCATCAGATGCCGCTGAAGCAGCCACCCAGCAGGACGCCTTACCAGAGCCTGCCATGGTGCATCCTCTAGGGGCAGAAGCGAGGCCTGAGGACGAGAGGCCTGGCCCATCCGCTGCTAACAAGGATCATGGACTTTGGTATGACCAGGAGACCCTGAGCACTCTGGTGAAGGGAGTGGTAAGTGGAGATATCATTGGGACAAAGATTTCCATGAGGAAATAATTTGTGGTCTGGGAAGTATTAGTGTGGCAATTTGGCTTTGGTGAGTAGATACAAAGTGCAAAGGGACTGGCAAGTTGGAACTGGTGGTTTTATTTGGCAGGGTTGTGGTACTTTTTTGGCTACTTGAACAACATAGAAATACAGTTTGCCCTGTAACTTACACAAGCAAAAAGTAAAGCCAGGTCATTGCTCCCAGTCTCTATCTCTCTCGTGCTCTCTCTCTCTCTCACACACACACACACACACACACACACACACACACACACACACACACACACACACACACACACACACAACTTACTTTACATGAGCTGAAGGCTTTGGCCCCTAATGTCACCCGTCTGACAAAAACATTCACACCTTCCCATGGTTTATGGGCATTTTAAGCCAAAACTCTATTCACAACATGATTAGAATATCTATATCCTAGATAAGTGGCACAGAGAGACAGAGACCTGTCGTCACTCAAAAACCTTTGTGTAACCAGGTGATGCAGAATTTCCTGTATTTATATTTAGCATCTCATCTTAGAAATAAAATCACACTAAAATCACATTGTTTGCTTACCCGCATATATGGCTCTGTTTTTGCAATCTGTTACAAAATGAAACCATACTAAGCATGCAGCAGTGTGTGTTCTGAATAGGCCAGTCACTGTAGTGATGCTGAGGTGGAACCAGCAGCCAGTCAAACAGTGCCTCAGAATCCATACCTAACTAAATGTACCTAGTGCACGAATAAGCAGCCCGGAGATTAAATGTACTTTTTTGATAAGTGCAGTTCTGAATATTCTGTTTGATTCAACTGCTGTGTCCATCTTTTATTGACACCTTCCCACTTGCGAATGAATATTTTCTGTTAAATCTTTTGTGTGTGTGTGTGAGATACACAAGTGCTCTTGGTGGTCTTTGTGAGCATATTATTAGAGCTAAATAAATTCTACATATTGTATAGAATTTCTACAATTATGATGTAAAGGTAAAATCATTTATCCAAAAAAATGTGAAACTACCCATGGATATTGTAGTTGTCTTGGGGTAATGGTGGATTGTAATTTTTATTTTTTTATTTTTTTTATCTGTTGGATGCTATGTACAGTAATGGGACTGATTATGTGTGAATGAGTTGCTTACATCTGTCCCTCTGTGCAGATGGACCTCTTCCCGGATGTAGAGGAAGCCTTTATAGCAGATTTGATAAGGAGACATGACTTGAAAGATTTAAATTTGTAAGTGGTTTTTTGTATTGTGCTTTTCATACAAGCTTACGGATTGTAAGTGTGAGGGACGTGGCGTTTCAGGCGTGCCCCTTCACTGCGGATGTGCGTGCCGTTTATGAGTTACTGTGCAGTTTGCTTTGTTTATTTGTGCTTATCTTTACAGAATTTGCAACTTTTTGTTAGAGAACCCTGAATATCCAAAGAACGAGAGGATTTCTGTGTTGAATCAGCACACCAGTATTCTTCTAGAAGCAAATGATAATGAAATGCAGGTAAGTCTGAGCACTTAGTCCTCAGCGACTGTCGAATTGAAGAACATGGTAGAGCACCTCATACGACACATTTTTTTTCCTCTAACATCATTTTGTTCTTGTCACCTTCCTGCTCTTAGGAAAAAGAGAATTATTTTGAGTTCTCCAAGCTGGGCACGGTTGATCACCGCGTCCTCCTGCAAGCCGCAGACCTTCTCATGGGGGATTTTAAGATGCTGAGCAGCCTGGACATAAAATGGGCTCTGAATTCCCTTAAAGGACACTATGCAATCACTCGCAAGGTACTGGATTCTCTCACCAGTATTACAGTTCTGACAGTGGTCCTCATCGATGCAAAAATGGGTCCCTGGGGCGTGGGGGGGGGGGCAGGCGCTGCTCCAAACCTGTTGACTGAGGACATTGCTCAAGGAGACTCTGCGGCATTTAGCCTAGCACTCTGTGTAGTTCTGAGTGAGCATGCTCAGTAGGCCCTTCTGTGGCGTGTAGCTCGACTATAGAGCCGTACCCGGGGATTCACCGAAATGAATCATGCATTCCTGAAACGTCAGTAAAATCTTGTTTACGCAGAATAGCTGCATAATGGGAAATAGGAATGTGTTCCTGTGATGTTAGTGATAAGGGGGTCCTTAGCACTAGTCTGTGTTCAGTTGGGAGTGTAAGGAAGCTTGAAAACCTCTGGTCTGGAGGTCTGTGCTAGTCTCTTCCTTTGCTAATGCCACCCTCCATTGAATAGAAATTATGAGCTGTCCTTTGACACTTTGTGCATGTAGCGTAATGGTCAAGGGAGAACCAGCTGTTTAACCTTTGAGTAATGTATTTAACTCAAATTGGCTCAGTCTAGTTATTTTTTTTCAGCTCTATAAATAAGCTGAAGTGAACATTATGAACAAATAGTTTTTGAATGTTAAATTCAGAAGTGGAAACTAGTTTTGTGGTGGTGTGTGTGTATATATGCCTAGTAAGTGTTCCCACCATCTATTAATTTGAGGATACTTGTATAATTTTCAGGGGAGCCCTTCATTTCCGGGGACACTGGGTTGCTGAATGTTGGTAGTGTGATTTCAGCGGCTCTGTTTTCTCTCTGTACCAGGCCTTATCTGGTGCCCTAAAGAAGTGGCGTGAGCATTCCGCTGAACCATCGGGGAAGAAGAGGAGGAGGAAAGAAATGAACCAGTTCTCGTATATAGATTTCAAGTTTGAGCAAGGTGACTGTGTGTTTGATGTCCATCTGAAGCCTGGGTTGTGTGAAAAGGTCCAGTGAGCAAGTCTGACTGCTTTGGCCTTCTTAGATCACTGGCAGTTACTGGTGTCTTGCTTTAAGGGGAAGTGAACCTAATTTAGGGATTTTGACGTGTTCCTCATGCATTATTGTGGAGAAGCTGCTGAAAGTATTAAAAAATGGAAAATAGTTTGTCTGAAAGGGCACCATTGGCCACCAGCGGGTTTGAGTTTTATTTTAATTAGCATTAACCAGGTGTTAATGTCGAATGATGGGAAAGTGAACGCTGGGGCTTGAGCACGGAACTTCCGAAAACAAGCTAGGCCAGCGAAGGCAGCTGGGTCTGGGAAGAGTGTTTGTGGTGGTGGAATCATTGGGTGTTTCTCAATCCCAAGAACGCAAAGATCTTACTTTTGGTTTTGGCAAGAGCAGTCTTGCTAACTTGTTTCTCAGAAGTGAACTTGGGACGTAGTTAATCATGGGATTGGTCTTGTTTGACAAGGATGCAACTGATGCATCCTTGATCCAGGGATTTTTTTTACCGTTGTTTGGACTTCTGTCCTTTAGTATTGGAAGTGATCTTTGGCAGTGGAAGATGGCGTAAAACGGGTACAAGAGAACACGAGTGTGGTCAAGTGTGCATATTGAGAAACGGCCATTGTGTCATTGGTAGGGTGGATTTTCTGCACCTTCATTATATGCTGAGCTGATGCACGTTGCGAACCATTCAGAACTCCAGCACGTGTTCCAGAAAGAAATCCTTACTCTTTTTGTTTCCCCAATAAAACAAATTTGGTGGCAGAAAGTATGTGACCTACTGTACAACTACTAATGATTTTATTGGCCAGATGTGACGCTCCCGATCGTGCCAGTCTAGGGCTGGCCAATATGCACCAAAAATCATATCTCTATTTTTTTTTTTTAGCTGAACGATGATATTCAATATATCTCTATTTTTTTCACATAAATAACAAAAAGACGGTCCCAATTCAGAGCCAAATGTATCTCACAGGCACTTTTATTAAGACAGCTGTACATGTGCATGAAAAAATGGCTCAGAAATAAACTCCTGGCATGTTTTATCTTACCAGCCAGCTCCTCTTCTCTAGCTTGCCTCGTGTCTGTGTTTTGTCTCCATGTTATTGCTGCATGCAGGACTTGTGAGTGGGGGGGGGGAGGGGCACGGGCAGGGTGCGGTATGGGGAGAAACTTTTAACACTTTTCATGTTGGTTTTGGGTGCTTTCTGAAAGGCATTTTTACTTGCGCTGTTTTTACAGATGCTTTCCAGCAAACCAGTGGCTTGCCTGTTTTACCCTGTATCTCATTTTGTGTGTTTTTTTTTTTTTTTTTTTTTAAATCCCTTTACATTTTATTAATGTTTGACCTTGACAAAGGTGAAATATCTAGGAGAAAATGTCTTTGAACTATAATCTATAATCTTACTCTATACCATGGGAAAGTTTTTACCCAAGTATTCTGCCATGTCTATTCTAGTAATTGGCTAATGTGGTGCTGCTGGTCTTAAATTTATATTTGGATGAATTTTGACTGTCCAAATCCTCTTGGAGGTTCCACAAAGTTGGAACGGCGCATGTTCTTCCTGGAAAACAAGAGGAGGTACTGGAGATCCTATGACAAGAAGTCGCTCCACCCGAGTTTGCAGAAAGAAATAAAGTTCTACGAGCAGAAAGCCAAAGAGATGGCTGAGGTGAGCTCCGCTTTTCACGTTCTGTACTTTTGACCCTGAATTCTTTTTGTTAAATATGTATTTAGTTGCCTTCTGGTCCCAACATGTGGTACAAATATGTTGAATACGTTAAAGACCTTTCAGGTTTCAGTTCAAAATATTGAGCATTCTGAACGGTATACGAGTCCCGTGAAATGTGCCTTTAATTATCAAATTCAGGACTGAGACATTTCCGATCAGTGGTTTTTGTTCTGAGCAATGTCAGAGAGAGACTAGCTCCTGTTAATAACAATACATCTGCGTGCAATTAATGGTTCTGGATACTTTTCTTGGCAGCACGAAGACTTCCTCTTAGCTCTGCAAATGAATGAAGAGCAGTATCAAAAGGTATACATTTTTTATTTTTTCAAAAATATTTGAAATTTTTGAAATGTTTGACTTAGCTCTGTCATTTCTGTCGTGGGGGAAGGACTCCCAACCAAGCTGATGTTAGGGTCTCGCCACTCTGTCCCTGCTGCTGTTCTGCTATTCCGTAAGCGGTGGTCCGGAAGCCCGGTGCCCACGGACCGTCTCGGCAGGTTCTCGGTGCCGGGCCACTCTGTAAACCAGCACGACGGGCCGCCCTTTCTTTTGCAGGATGGCCAGCTGATTGAGTGCCGCTGTTGCTATGGCGAGTTCGCCTTCGAGGACCTGACGCAGTGTACCGACGGGCATCTCTTCTGCAAGGAGTGCTTGGTGAAGTACGCTCAGGAGGCCGTGTTCGGTTCGGGCCGGGTGAGTGTCTGCTGCGAGGTGTGAGATCAGGGGGGGGGGGGGACACGGAGCGTCACAGTGTGTTTGGAGTCACGTACCCAGCCTGAGAACCCTAATACCAAAACCTGGCAGTAAATTAAACCTGGCAGTAAGCTTGTTACTCGGAAGGTTCCGGTGCATGTCTCAAGACTGGCTGTACTGCTGCTGCTTTCAGTTTGGTTCAGTCCAGGTGAGCGTCTACTTGTTTCAGGCACTTTTTAGCTATACAAGTATCAGCAGACAGTGAAGGAGTCGTGGGTTTTGGTGCGGTCAGAAGGCAGCATATGAAAATGATAGCCCTTAACTTGAATTAGATTCATGCTATTTGAGTGTGTGCCATTAAAATTTAATCTGGCTGCAAAACAAGAGTCGTCTTTTCCATATTGCAGAGAGCCGTTTGGTCATTATACTCTTCTGTGCTGCGTTATGTGCTTTCATCTTGTAAGTGATTGACCATATCGAGATGAAATTTTCTGTTTCTGTGCAATGCTGTAATTGACTCTTAGTCTAAAGTACTAAGTACTGTTAGCCTTTTAACAAACTCCTTTTTCATTTTACAAACTATTTGTTTTTATAAACACCTGGCCCAGAAATACTGTTGTGTGTGTTTTTTTCTTCTTCTTCCCAGGACACTGTTCCAGTCGAAGTGTGGTGGTCCAAAATGATTGAATTATTGGTTAAAAAGCATCTCCTAACTAACGAGACATAAATGTTTGTCCCACAGTCGGAGCTGAGCTGCATGGACGGGAGCTGCACGTGCATGTTCCCTACCAGCGAGCTGGAGAAGGTTCTCCCGGAGAACATCCTGTACAAGTACTACGAGCGGCAGGCCGAGGAGGCCGTGGCCGCCACCTGCGCAGACGAGCTTGTCAGGTTGGGTCTCCTCGCTGCCGCTTGCCCGCTCTTTTCCGCAGTGTATGGGACCGCTGATCACTGAATCACAGCGCCCAATTCCGACTTGCTCGTTTGTTTTTCCATTGTGTAATTTAGTCAGGCGGTGCTACCTGCTCTGAGCTGTGATGCAGTGTAACCATGACGATTTTAACCTCGCCTTTCCAGCTGACTCTTAAGAGCATATCTAGAAGAGACCTGAAGCTGTCTCGATCTCTTTCCCAGGTGTCCATTCTGCAACTTCCCAGCTCTGCTAGACAAGGGAATCTCTCTCTTCAGCTGCCCGAACCCCCGCTGCAGGAAGGTCAGTATACTCACTGTTGACTGGGGCATATGAGTTCATGGCCAGTTTCACTGAGGAATTATACGAATTTAATTCATTTTTGTAAGGAAATTGAATTACCTGTCTCTGAAACGTTCATCTGCTGGCCATGGTATATGGGGAAAATGTGTGTACACTCCAAACCTGTTCTAATACCAGAGCTTATTGCATCCATCCAAAGTTTTCTGCTGATCCCTTTCTTCATATAGGCAAGACGCCCCTTCTGTGTTGTGCCGTAGGTCACCAGTAACTGTTTTTGGTCTCTAATTAAGCGTAAATTCATGGCACTATGAGAGCGATTGATTTACACAATCCCAGGAGGCTCCCTGGTGACTGTTAAAGCCAGCTGTTATCCTAATGTTTGGAAACATAAAAATATCTTACTGTAAATACACTTGAAAATGATTTTTAAAAAAGAAAGAGAAGCAAGCATTGGAGCAAATTACATTTTTGAATTTGGATGAATTTCCTTGAACATTCAAAGTATTTAAAGTTAATTTAAAGTTTCTTAATGAGATTTGTGGTGTGTTTTACAGTAGAATATTTTGAACAGTCTTTGCACCTAAGAAGTACACAAGCTGACAATTTGTGATTATTTACAAGCTTGGCAAATGATTCATTTCAGGTTTTCTTGGTAAGCTTGTTTTCTTAATCGCACGTTTTGAGCATTCTCCAGTGTTCGGTGTTTTAATAAAAGGTTGCATTTAATATCTCTAATGAACAATGAAAATGCAAAACACAGAAGTTGCTCATTTCCTTCGGCCCTTGTAATTCCGCTAGTGTCCACAGGATGGCTCTATGACTCCGTGGGTGACACAAGGGGCGTTCATTCTGCAAATACAGCTAGGCTGCCACCTCCCCGGGAGTTCTACTATTAAGTTTCAGATATATAGATATATAATGTAATATATATATTTTTTTATATATATTCAAATAGAGTCAAAAAATGAGGTCTCGTGCATTTCCTTGTATAATTACATAAATACATTGCTGCTGGTAATAAATTGAACACTGCAGCTACTTAAGAGCCTGAACAGTGGCCACTGTCATAGCAATACAGTAATAATGCTAGCGATAGTAGCTGAACGCTTAACACGGCGCCGCTGTTACGTGGGCTTCAGTCCTCCAACCACATGCCAGCCCCGTCCAATCATGGAGCTGCTGGAACGTGTTTCCATGGCAGCTGATGATGGCTCAGCCACCGCAAGCTGCTGGTGTGCGAGTAAAATCAGGAACGTGGAGGCCGCTTTCGGTTTCTGGGTTGGGCCTGCTCTCTTTCCCCTATTCTCTGTAAGAGTGGGAAGTAAGCGGTGACTTTCTTAGCCCTGAGCAGCGTTTTATCGTAGCCTGGCACCTAAGGTTTTTAAACTAAAACAAATCCACTGTTTTGTACTTTGCTTCTCTGCTGCCTGTTGCCTCAGGTTTTGGGTATGCCTTTCTGCTTATCTGCGCACTCTCTGCATGGAAGAGATTCTAGGTTTTTTTTTTTTTTTTTTCTTGTTGGTTGTGGTTTTGTGACCGATTGTTTGAGACTGATAGCGTGTGAGCTTTCCTGAGCTGCTCGCTGTCGCCCTCCCAGCCGGGACTCTCTCTGCAGTCTCCAGCTTCTCCTGATGAACCCAGCCCTGCCCTGGCCCCCGAGCCCTCAGATGGATATCTCTCCACCACACAGTTCATGACTTTTACAGTGTGCTTATGGTCAGGGCTTTTACAATGATTTATGACGCACAGAAAGCTCTTTTTACGCCTGTTTAAAGTACAAAATGTCATTCATGAGAATTTTTCTGTGAAGTATGTGGTTCTAGTGAGAATAACAGAAATTGGTTCTGTGCCATTATTTGGTTTTTCCGTGAGGGGGAATTTTTACCCTTTTTTTTATTATTATTATTTTATTTTTTATTTAATTGCCAAAAATTTGAATCTTGGAGAAAGCACCTTGTGTAAATTTGTTAATCCTCTGTAAGTCAAATCTTATTTCAAGAGAATTCCAGCTGAATGTGAGACAGAACTTGAGCGGACTGCTGTAGGAGGGCAATGCTTGTTCTCGTTTGTCTATGGGAATGTCCTTATAGGTAACATACCGCTTACACAGGCATCCTTAAGTGCCCAGGGATGAAATCACTCTACAGTTACCTTTGGTAACTGCCAGGGAAACCTGTAACGCTCTGTCAGTTTACATTTCTAAGGTAAATTTGGCACTCAAGGTCCCCCACTTTATGACCACACAAATGCGTGACTCAAACGAATGAGCCTGGACCTCAGTTCATGTCTTCAAACATCAAGTAAGACACTCAGCTCCCTCTTAAGTGGGTTAAATGGCGGCTCTAGGGGCTTGGGGTCCCTGACTTGGGCGTCCTCGGTCTGGATCTGTGGCAACGCCTCCTTTGTGTGCTGTGGGAGAGTTCAGTCTGTGGAAAATAACCCTCTTTGTTTACATGTCTACAGAGTCTGGGCTGGCTTTTCCCCACTGTTTGGCCTGTCAGAGACAACCTGAACTCACAGCCACTTTCTAGTCCATTGATGACTCTGAAGTATTTCACTGTCAAGACTCCATATTACTTTTCTGTGCCATAATGGGTTTATCTGTTTAAAAAGACAGTGATTTTAACTTTGTTCATTTCAAAGGCTTAAGAGATGGCCTGACATATGGTGTAACACACCAGAAGAACAAGTACAACTGCTAGGAAATTGGCCCTCAAGTGTGCTTTTTAGTGAGATGGTTCATTTATGAAAATGAGTGCAATCTTGCGTACAATACCAGTGTCGTTTCTGATTACCGTGACGCTCAGCCATGCCTGCTTCACCGCGGGGTTTTGACCCTATTGGAGCAACTGATGGGTGGCAAAAAGCAGAAGCTATATTCAGCCCATGGGAGCCGGCTTGACAGCTCCTTCCTAATTGAGCTGCAAGGACAAAAGGGCCTTTTATGGTCTTGCAAATTGGTCACCCTGCGAGGTGACCGGCTAGCTGGAGGGTACGTGATTCTCATAAGCTCCGTCTGCTTCTCAGAAGGCCTCCAGATTAAGCTGCTTCTCCTGGTTCAGTTTCTGCCAGGTTAATGCAAGACATGGCAGTGTAGCAGTGATCGTAGGGTAACACCGTGTTGGGTTTGTACTCTATCGTTAAGCCGTTGGTGTTGGGGCTGTGAGTGTAATTGGATGGCCCATCATGAAGTCCAACCCTTAATGCATCTGAATGCTGGGCCGCCCTTTGTTACACTCTCCCCTGATTTGGCTCTGAATCCATGTGCCGTAGCTTGTTAATCATTTTGTTGATGCCACTGCAGGCATCCCAGTGGTGGCTTCAAACAAATGGGGGGAGTGTATTTTAGCCGAGTAAGAAAACGACGGGAACGACGGCAGCATGGTAGATCCTCCTTCAGGCTTCGCCTCATGCCTTGCACCTTGGCATCATACAGCGAGCAGTGGGTGGCCTTCCCGGGGAGATGCTGTCTCTGCCCTGGTATTGTGACAGAATTCATTCACTTATAGTCAGTATTCTAAGAATGAACTGGGAGGATCAAAAGAAAAAGTATCAAAATTAAATGCTAAGAGATATGAGGCACGAGTCTCATTAGGCAACTCTGCTGTTTTACCCCTGAACTCCTCCCTGCACCAGTGTACAATTATGCATAATGTTCACTGCGTGATGGCAATCATTTTAGTGCATGCAGTGCTATAGCCACTCAATAAAGAGAGGCTATAATCACTGTATTAAAGTTCGCTTTACTACATTAGCAGCTTTTTTCGCTAAGATGCCTGAAGAGTTTTCCCCCTAATAGCAAAAATCAAGAAAAGTGAAAATAGCATTTAGCGTTTTCTAGGTGAGGTTTGTATAAGTATTTTTTGTGTGTGTGTGTGTGTGTGTGTGTGTGTGTGTCTCTCTCTCTCTGCTGTGACTATATCATTCTTGTTTTTACTAACTATTATATAAATAGTTTCTTCACCTTTCTGCCAGTTTGGCTTAAGAAAGGTTTCATAGGAATGTTCTACTTTTGGATAGCAGGGCAAACCTGTACTATGTATAAAATCCCCAAATTATCATTGATTAGTCTGAGGTCATTGACATAGAATTTGTTTCCACAGTGTTTTCCCGCGGACTTTCTGAAAAATGTGTGTGAACTTTATCATAGTCTGTCATTTTACTGTACTTGCGATTCTACATGTCATTCTGTGACAGTTCTGTAATACATTTTGCGTATCTGGATAGATTGTCCAACTTTCTGCCACCGAATAGAGCAATGAAGGTGCATTGAAATATCATCAACTTTTTTTGTGTTTGTCCGTGTGCTTAACGTGCCTCTGAGCTGTGGTGAGACCTGTGACACCGGTACAGTGTGGGGTTTGTGGCAGGATCAGGCTGATACTTTAGTCTGTATTCACGAGGGCTGAACACCTTCTATTCTCTGCAGATTCCTCCAAGCTTAGCCCTCTGACTGCTTTGGCAGAATAATTAGTGGAGTTTGTGATCCCCTCTGTCCTTGATGTGGCTGAAGCGGGCAGCTCTGGCGCTGTGCTGACCATTCCTGAGCTCCACAGCCTTATACCATTTATATGCATCTCTCTCCATGTCAGCTGTATTTAGACTTTAATGCTAGAAATATTTCATGGTCACTTCCTTGCATCCTCTGATCACTCAGCAGTAAGTTAACCAGGCCAGATCTTATAAGTGTGATTTTTGTATCTAATGTTTTTCTTGGGTAGTGAGCATTGTGAGAATTGTGAGCATGCATGTGGTTATATGCAGGACAGGACATGGAGTCACCCCTCTGGGCAGTTTTATAAGAGATCCCTCTCAGATCTGCAGTGCTTTCGATATATGCCTGGGTCGTATAGTTAAATTTTATATATATGTCATATTAGTAGTGTTTAATATATATATCCTGTAATTGTCCTATTTGACCATTAGATGGCAGCAATAGACTGCCTGTCTGCAGCCCCCCCAGTTTTTATTTTCCTCCTCCCTCATAGGTGCTGTTTATT